CTGTCCCCAGATGTGGGCACAGATTAAAAAATAAGTCGCTCCCATGCTTGGATTGTCTCATCGTCAGGGGAAAGGACAACCAGTTCGCATTTTAAAGACAAACCTAATTTTCAGCCTATTCAGGGGTGAAACGAGCGATTCGCCATAAACTTCATGGCAAATCGCTCGTTTTACCCCTGAATAGGCAGAAAATTAGGTTTGTCTTGGTAGTTTATTTGGGGTTCCCCTATTTTGGTTTCTTACTCGGGAAAAGGGAAAGCCAGCATTTGGAGGATTCAGAATTCCCATATTTCATTCCACTTCTGTTCCAGCCATGTCAGGCAAGTTGGTTTTGTCACCGTTGGTTAGGGAGAGAACCACCCCCACCCCGACTGCCATGAAGCCCCGCACCACCCCATCTCTTTCTGCTGGGTCACAAATATGGCCGTCTCCTGCTTGCACACTGCCGCCTCCTGCCGTCTGCCGTTGAAGGGGACACCACGGGCCGGGCGTTGGGCGCCCCGATTTTTTGGGGACAAGCCCGCGGATGGCTCTCATTGCTTCCGTCAGTGACCCTTTGGGCCTTGGTTAGTTTCTTTGCTTTTCGGTTCCTTGGTCTTTTTTGCCTTGATTCTTTTTTGTTGGTTCAGGTCTTTTTTGCCTTGGTGTTTTCTTTTTCTTTTCGGATCAGTCTTTTTTGCCAACAGTACCCCCCCTGCTTCTGAACATGTCCGAACCTCACGGCTGGGGCTTGGAAACGAGAAAAGAAAACGCCGGCGCGTCACACCGCCGCGCGCCCTTGTTTTGTTCTTCCTCTTTTTTCTGGGGACGGGTGTTGGCTCGAGTTCGAAATTTTCCACTCGAGTTTTTGCCAGACACAGACACGAATTTGGGAAGTCGTCGAAAGATAACCCTCTGTAGGTCCCCCAGTAGTGCCCTTCGTGCCCTTTTTTGGGGGGAGGGTTCCCCCCACTAAAGACCACAGAAAAGAGTTGGTACCCTTTTTCTACCCTCTCTACTGGAGGACCTAGCTCTCTCCTTGGCAGCTGGGCCGTTTTCTTCGCTGCGTTTTCTTCGCTTTGGCATCCAGGATCTGAGCCAGCGCCGGCTGAAGCCAGCGGAAAAAAGAAGAGCTTCGTGCAGACTTGCTGTTTCGATGGGCAGGAAATGAGTTGGCATCAGCCAGACAAACACCGTCCAGGGGATTGGCCGAGTTTGAAAACGGGTCAACATGTTGTGAACTGCATGTGGGAGTGTTCAATGGTTCGCGCGGAAAGGTTTGGGGACTTGCCAAAGTGATACTGCTTGAATTTCGGCACGGCGACTTGTCCTTCTTGGACCGTGGGAGTCTCAAAGGTCTCAAATGACATCATCATTTCTCGGGAAGCTTCCAACCATTCTTTCCAGGGATCCGAATCTTTTCAGGAAACCATGAAAAACCCATGGGACATCGCTGGTTTCCAAAAGGAACAATGGTTGACTAGGTCCCCCAGTAGTGCCCTTCGTGCCCTTTTTTGGGGGGAGGGTTCCCCTACTATAGACTACAGAAAAAAGTTGGTACCCTTATTCTAACCTCTCTACTGGAGAACCTAGTTGAAGAAAAATATGGGATTTTTACAGGACAAGGTTTACTGAACTTGGTGGTTCCCAGCCATCCCCTTAGCTTTTGAGACTTTTAGGGTTTAGTGATTGGGTTTCCCTATTTCAGCCACTAAACGTTATTCACTTTTAGCCAGGATCTGAAAACGGACAACCCAGTAAATATTTGCCAGGAAAGGATGGCCAAGGGTGGGTTGGGTTTTGGATTGGTGGCTTCGTGGCTAGTGCTGCTTTCCCATTGGCCCTCAACAAGATTCAGGGTTCAAATCCCCAAAACACCAATCCAAACCACCAATTGGGGGTTGCAGTACCCGACCTATTGTTTCAACTGAAGTCATCTACTGCTTAACCAACTTCCTCTTTTGGTTCCTCGGTGGCGCTTTCGTGGAGGTCCTGGCAATTGAGAGACCTTTTCTATAACCCACCCCATGGGGTTCCCAGAGGAGTTTTAACACCAAGCTTCAACCAAACGGTTCCCCAAAAACAGGAATGTCCCGCAGAAAAAGGGTATTTTCCCCAAACGGGGTTCCCAAAAAAAAGGGGGCTTCCCCAAAGGATTTTCCCCAAACGGGGTTCCCCCAAGGGGGTTTCCCCAAAACGTGGCTCCCCAAACAAAACCAGCAGCTAAACACAAGGACTTTTGAGCAGTGTTTGGGCTTGATAAATTGATGGGTAATGCATTTTGGCCTTGTCTTTTAACTTTGCCATTTTGCTTGGCCATTCCAAGCGTGCATACTTGCCTGCAAAGCTGATTTGTCTTCTATGCGCATAAGAGAGAAGCGGTTGTGGGTGAGAGTTTGGTCAATGCCGACTAGAATGTTCTGCTTTGGTTGTCAGAGCAACTTGCAATCTTTCCACTGCGCTTCAAGCCGGTCCTTTCTGGCATCTTTGCAGCGGACGCCCATGGCCAACAAGAACCACTGCCAGGTTGTGCGAAAAAACCGGCCCCCAAACCCCCAGGCACGTGGTTACCACTTTGCGTCAGAGCCTAAGCCGATCCGCCCGATCCACGCGCCAAAACGCACCGGAGCGAAGTTGCCCCGAAGTTGCCCTGGAGCCCGCGGAGCCGGGCTCAGGTGGAGCAGTTGCGGAGCGCCGGGAACAAGTTTGGCGAGGCGCGGCGCGGGCAAAGTGATTTAGGCGCTTCCATTTGCTGAAGAAGGTCTTTTTTTTCCCCCCCCGTGTTGGTTTTAAAAGGAATCTAGCACTACTGGAAATATTTGTTAGTTTTTTTCCAGGGGTCTTAACCGAATGGAAGGCTGAACGTCGTTGTTTTTTCCTTTTTTGGCGAATGGTCACCCCATGTAGCTGGGACCTTTTGATTGGTCTCAGGTCCCTGAACTTTATTTGAGGGTTGACTCATCATGACGGCCTGTCTTTTACATGTTTTTCAGCCCCCTAAGTCGGTTCTTGGACGCATTCGTTAAGCAACACAGTTCATTCTGGACCCCTTATTCTGGTTGCATTTTGAGGGGCTAATGGGAAGCCTGGTTTGGTGCATGGATGTTCAACCGGCAGGTAAGTATAAACATGCTTCGCTACCAGCTAAATGCCCTGAGGGTCCGAAGCAGCAGACGTTCGGCAGGAATTAAACACTGGACCTAAAGAAAAAGGGTGTGTATTCAACAGGGCTCCTTAAAAGATACATTTTGCCCATCCGCCAAAATGAAGGGACACCACCATTTACAAGGCAATGTTCAGGTGTATAATGTAAGGATCCCTGTTCAAATGTTGAAAGGGGGAGCTTGAAAGCACCGATGTTGGGCAAAACCTGGCCATGGGGGTAGAGCAAGAATGGCACGTGCCATTTGGCCGCAATCTGCGCGCCAACTGCTGGGATGCGTTTGCTTTCTGGCTTGATGGTAGGCATAGGTGTCCCATTGAGGTTAGCTTGTCGGAAAAGAGATGGCACTGGTTTCCCTTTCGTTCTGATCATTTGCCAGTGCCATCCATTTCTCCAAAACTGGGCAAAACATCTCACGAGCTCAGGTGGAACGAGGTCACCCATGAAGGATTGGTTTCCTTTCCGGGCTTACTCTGCGTAAAGCCCCAGGGCTTCCCGCCTTTTTGTGGCTGGAAAAACAGCACCTGGTTGCCAATAAGTGCCTGTCCTGTAAGGGTGTTCAAGGGTGGACATATTCTTACCTTGCGTCTAAGGTAAACCCTGGTGTCAGTGCTTGTGGGAAAAGTTCAGGTTGCCACTTCCGGTGATACGCACCAAAGGAATCCCCAAGTCAGCGTGTAGTCATGGGGGTGGATTTTAATTTAACTTTGGGGCACTCATAGTCCGACTTGTTTCACACCCTCTAAATTTCCCCAGGAAAAATGGCTCTGGCTCCATTCCCTTGTTCAACCCTTCAGGCTATCACGATATGAAAAAATGGATTCCCTTTCGCCCATCAGTTGCTCGTGTGACAACCTCAGTTGGGTGTGTCCTTTTTTGAAGTTGGTACCTTTTCTTGGTGGTTTGAACGGGAACCGCAAAGGGAACAACTCTTTTTTGTGTGTGGGGGGGGGGGGCGGGGGTGATTCCTCAAAAAAGACACAGCTAGGCCATAGGCAGTTGCTACAGTGCGCTAGAAAGTTGGCAGGTGGCCATGCTGCACAAGCTGGCAACGATGTGCGGAGACCAAGGGCAGCGATGTGGCACGCTGAACCACCTTCAGGGAAGGGGGAGTCCTAACCGTAAAAGGGTACGTTTTCTTTGAGAGTACCTTTCTTTGGGTGGTTCTAGGGGTTGATTCCTTCCCCATTCTTTTCAACCATCCTTCTTTTCTCAAAAACCGGATCTGTTTTCCCTGGGTTTTTGATGATTTTCCTGGAAAGAAAAACGGATCCCTGGAAAGAATGGACATGGAAGGTACCCCTAGAATACCCTCCATTTGCTCAAGTCCCCTGTAAAAGAATAACATATTTCCAGTAGTGATAGATTCCCTTAAAAACCCATGGGGGAATATTGAAAAACACAAACAACTCAATAACGAAAAAGGAAGGTCCCCCTAGAGTGGTTTTAAAGGAAGCGCCAACAGGAACCCAAGCAGTTTCAGATGCCTATTGTGAGACAAGCCCAACATGGCGCAACAATCTCCGCCCAAACCGGATCGCCATCGGTGAGTCTACTTAAGAGTGGGTGCCACTCTTGGGGTTAATTTTTCTTGGGGAAACCAATAATTAGGAGACATTCCAATTTTTTGGGGAAACAAGAACGGGTTCCAAACCGATTTAGAGACACAGCCGGCTCAGCCGGCGGCGAGGTTTTGGGAGTCCGTCCACGTCGAGGTTTTGAGTACACCTCATGGCATTGGGCGAACCACCTGCTTTTCCATTTGCTTCCATTTGCTGATAGACATTTTTTTAAACTTCCCTTGTTGGTTTTAAAGGTTTAAAATAATATTTCCTTCCATTTGCTGAAATGAATATTGTTTTTTTCCCCTTGTTGGCTTTAAAAGGGAGTTGAACACACTATTGGACACATGTTTTCTCCTTTTTCCAGGTTCGGCTCCCTTCTTTTGGCCCCTTTTCGTTCGAAGGCCGCGTGAAAACCCCCACGAAGTTTGAGGGAAAGCTCCCCGATTTTGGGGGAACAAGAAACATGTTTCAACCACTTTGTTGTTGAAGAATTCGGTTTTTTACTTGAAAGGGGCCCATGGTCTTGTTTAAGCATCCTGTTTTTTATACTTGGAGAGGGGCATGTTTCAGCCACTTGGTTGTTTAAGCATCCGTTTTTTTACTTGAAAGGGGCCCATGGTCTTGTTACCAGAAAGACGGCCTTCAAAGGGGGTCTGAACGTATGGTCTGGTTGTCTCAACCACTAAAATAGAAACAACCAAACCATTTTTTGTTTTTTTAAAGACAAGAAAATAGAAACATCCACATGTCTCTGCTCGAGCCTCGAGAATTAAGCCCGCCAAGGTCGCCCTTCCCGGACTATGCCCTGAACACCGCCCAGGCCGGGAGATCTGCTTTGGGAACGGCCCGGTTGGACCGTTCCCAAGGGTTTTTTCTATGTTCCCCTTTTTGGCAGTTCTAATTGGAAGGTGAGTTTCCTTGAAACATTCAAGGGGAAGTGGAGGGACCCTGTTATCCTCCTGAAAAAGCTCTTGAGGCGAACCATCCTTTGCAGATTAAGAGAAGGAAACTAAAAGGGTGCCCAAAACGAAGTTTCCTGTAAATGAAAGTGTTTTGGGCCTGGGTTTCAGTGAATCAGCAGATTACGGGCCTCGGGGTCAAAATCCATCTGAGCGAATTGAAGTGACCTACCGGGACTTGCTTCGCTGCCCAATTGGGGACCCATGAAGGGTCCTTTTCGTTTTAGGTTCATTTTGATACTCCCACAAGTTCATCCAACAAGCTCCCCCCTCCAAAGGCGCTTCGTCCGAAACATGGGCGGTTTTTGTTTGGGTTCCATAGTGGGAGTACTCCAGCATTGTTGGGTATCCCTTAGTTGGTGGGATTTGAACCCCTAGAAGGCAAATGGGAAAGCGCTCACGACCTCAGCACCAGGCTCCAAGCCAAGTAGTTAGGGAAGCTGAGATTGGGTTTTGCCCTGGTTTCCAGGAACCAAATCGCACATGAGCAAGGGTTTGTGAGTCTCCGAGGAGAATCCTAAAATGGGTCCCCGCGCTTTTCCTTACCAACTCAAGGGGCTAAAAAAAGACACACACACACACATGAGCTGTGGGTCAAAATTAGGTACCCAAAATGGAACCCTGGCAAATAGAACCAAGGACTAAAACCTGCGGTCCATATTCTGGTGGTTTAATTTTGACCCATACCCACATCATGATTTTCCTCCGAACGAATCAATGGAAGCAGGTCTTTTGCAAGCCATGCGCTGCTCTTGAGGTTGGGGAGGGTTGGACGACCCCTTTTGGCGGAATGGGAAGCCGAGAGGAAAGGTTGCGTGAGTGGAAAAGTTTCTGGTTTGGTCACATGGGTATGGGTCAAAATGAAACCACCAGGATATGGACCGCAGGTTGTTGTCCTTGGTTCTATTTGCCAGGGTTCCATTTTGGGTACCTAATTTTGACCCACAGCCACATGCATCCTGACAAAGTCTGGGATTCTCTTAAAAGGCAGTAAAAACCTCTCCGAGCTCGACAACATTTTTTAAGAAGTCGTGAAAGTTCTCCAGAGTGAGACACCTGGCCGGCCAAGTCTGAACGGGTTCTCGGCGTGTCATTTCTTAGGGGGAACCCTTGTTGGGTTAGTTTCAAAGAGAACCCCAAGAGAGCACGACAGTCTTTGGCCTCAACAAAAGACCCACCCAAATAGGTTCCCAAATCGCGCTTGTCTGCGCCCTTTGGCTTCAGAAATCAGCCAGTTGGGACATACCCGGGCTCGCTCGATAATTTCGACGATCGCTTGTTTGGGGAGTGTCATACTGTGGATAGTTGCCAAATCTTGCACCAGCTAAAACTCCTGAAATGATGATTCCCCTGCAAATACCAACAATCAATGGCTTCCCATCGTTTCAAAGTACAGGATTTCGTCCATCCATATTGAGGGACCCCGGATCACTTTGGGGACACCTAGGAAGTAATACTGTGGATGGACGAAATCCTGCACCACCTAAGAAACCCTGGTTTCTGATGATTTCCCTGTAAATACCAGCAAACAGTGGTTTCAGCCATGGCTTCTTAGGTGGTGCGAAATGGATTTCGCAACCATCCACAGTATTGAGGGACCCCGAAAAATCACTTTGGGGACACCTAGGAAGTAATACCAGTCCCCCTTTCAGTAAGTGGGGGGCTCCCCACAACATGGAAGCTTTCCACGCGGAGCTTCACCCGTCGGCCCGCGTCCGCCCGGCAGGCCGCGCTGACGATGGCGCAGAAGTCCGGCTTGGCGGGGCTGGAAAAGGCTGGACGGGCGTCCCAGAACTGGTTGCCCAACGCAGAGGACAGCAGCCCGGTTGCTTGTTTGTTTGTTTGTTTGTTTGCTTGTTTGTTTGTTTGTTTGTTTGTTTGTTTGTTTGTTTTCTTTTCTGTTTGTTTGTTTGTTTGTTTGCTTGTTTGCTTGTTTGTTTGTTTGCTTGTTTGCTTGTTTGGTTGGTTGGTTGGTTGGTTGGTTGGTTGGTCAGTTGGTTGGTGCAATGCCCAAGGCTCTGTAACCTCATGACCCCGCCGAGAGTTTGGCTGTCGGGTCGGGGGGGGGGTTCAAGTTTCACAATGGATCCCAGTTGCCTGCATGTTGGTTCTCTTGGTTATCTACTATATGGATGCGGCTCAAAATTAAGGAGCTGGGGTTACGCAGGTTTTGGTCCTTGTTTTTCCTCCAACCACTTTTTTGAGCCACAGCCATATAGTAGTACAGGTAAGTAGGTGAATGGTCAGGGTTCACGCATCTAGGCCAGACTGTTTTCAGTTGGGGCCGAAAGCTTAGGGCAGTCTTTGGGCCCAAAATTGGGTGTTGCCTGGGTGTGACATTTAGTTCGGGGCCCTTTGGTGCATCGTTTAGGCAGGTATCATGTCCACCGAGCACTTTGACCAATGAAAATTCATAGCCGTCTGGGTGTTGCCAGCAAGCAAGCCACCCCTTTCGGATGTTGAAAAGGCGAGAAAACCTGAACACAGCCGACCACAGGTTGGGGGTTCCCCATTCTAATCGCCAGCAAGAGGCTTCTGGAATTCGGGACATGCGTTGGCAGGAAAGGCAAAAAGGGAGGTCTCCCCCTTTGAAAACTGCCCCGTCACCGTCTTCAACGGCCCCTTGCTGTCACAGAAGTGAACGACGGAAAGTTCAAACTTTGGGGGGCCAACCCACTCCAGGGCGGTCATCGGACAATGGTACGGGCATTTTTCAGAACAGCGGGTCCGGTTTCCCTTTGATGGGGATGAAACCCGAACGCCCCTTGCCCAAAATCGACAAACCTGTTCGGTTTCCTCTCGGGGTTGATATGAAGACAAGCTTGTCCTTACCCAAAAAGGAATCCCACCACCCCGCATGCCAGCCATGTTTCTTTGGTTGTGAACCTGAGACGTTTCACATCTAAGTTAGAATTCCCAAGCTTCGAACATTGAGGAACCCTGAGCCCCAGAGTTTGTGGCACACCCTCAAGAAAACAAAAATCGCACCCCCGCACAAAAAAGGAAGAACCGAAAAAGAGCACCTCACCCCCCAAAACTGTGGAACCTTCCGCCCCAAAAAAAAAACATCATCCCCCCACCCCAAAAAAAAGAGGGACCCCCCCAACAAAAACAACAGAAAAGGATCCCCCCCAAAAACACGACCTGACCTCCCCCAAATGGTGGAACCCCCCCCCAAAAAAAAAAAAAACAAAAAAAGAAGCCCCCCCCCCCAAATTCCCCTCCTCCCCCCCAAGAAAAAGGGCCAAAAAAAAAAAGCGCTCCCCCTCTCCCTTAAACAAAAAGCCCCCCCCCCTGCCAAAAAAAGGGATCCCCCCCCAAAAAAAGAGAGAAAAAGAAGCACCCCATCCCCCCCATCCCCCCGCCCCCCAAAAAGACGACCCTCCTCGGTGCAAAAGCGGCGGTCAGGCCTTAAAGAAGACCTTGACGCAGCTTTACGTGGCCAAGGGCAAGATCGACAAGGCCCATGCGTCGCTCCTTTTCGACCCTTTTCGCTCCCAAACCCGCCGGCGGGGGGTTTGGGAAATCCGCTGGTGAGGGACGAGCCCAAGTTTTCAGTTGGCACCCCCCCCTTTTGTTTGAGTTCCGTTTGCTTAAGAGTCGCTTTTTTCCCCCCTCCCCCTCATGGCAGGGGATCCCGACCCCCAAAACGCCCACCCAAACTTCCATTTGGTTAAACATTTTCCCCCCCCCTGTTGGTTTAAAGGGAATCGATTTCACTCCTGGACATATTTCCTAATTTTTTCCGGGGGGCTTAAAGCAAATGGAGGCAAAGGGCGCTCCTTGGAAGCCGGTTTTCTTGCTGCTTCGGAGCAAGCCATCCGCTTCAACTTAGGTGTTTAGTTGTTTTTTTTCGGCGGTTTAGTGGTAGTTTCCACTAAACCACAAATTACCACTAACAGTTTTCGACTCTTAGCAGGGGATCTGGGAGCAGCCAAGCTTTGAACATCGTTTCTGCCGTGGTCAAACGAGAATTCCTCATACTTGGCAGCCGTTTGTAAATCAGTTGTGCCATCAAAAGACCTCTTCAGGCAATGACTTACTAAATTGCGGGCTTTGGACCGGGCGCCTTTTTGCAACGCGCAGGCTCCGGACCGGCGCGACGCCTTGCCAGACGCACAGAGAGAGAGAGAGAGAGAGAGAGAGAGAGAGAGAAGGATTTGCGGAGGAGGGCTGTAGTGGTTTTCTCTTCTTGGTTTCCGTATAAAAAACGACAAACAAAGGGGCACCAGCTCAAAAAAGACAAGCCACCCATATAGCTTTGGAGTTGGAACCTCCCAAGTGGTTGGTGGACAATCCTCACCCAACTTTAGAGTTGTGTCCACCAGAGGGTCCCTAGTCAAACATGTTTGCTTGTTTTTTTTGTGGGGCACCCCTTTGAGGGTGGTTTCACAGGCAACCCACCACCATTTTGGGGGTCCAAGATTTTGAAACACCCATATGAAACCCTTGTCTGAACCTTATTTGCGCAAACAAAAAGGCCAACATGTATCTAAATCACATTTTCGGGGCAAGCCGTATCCTATTTGGAAACAAAAAGCCACGTGCCATGGTCAACCACCCTTTTCGAAGCCTCCATGCTTAGATGTTTACTCCACTCAAGTTGGTTATATCCATAGTTAGCACTGGGTTGAACATCAACGGGAGTTGTCAAACTTGACCTTTTTTGCGACTTGCCGGTGTCGCAGGAGCCCTGAAACTTTTTCTTCAGGAAAATACCGCCGAATTTTGGCAACAGGCACAGTGCCATGTTTAAAGCCCAGATGCCGCAGGGTACTTCTTTGGACGTCATGGAGCCACTAAACCTCCGCAATCCTATTTTACGCCTTTTTCGATCCCTGACAGTCTGAAGAGCCATGGGAAGGGAGCATCACCTACCACCGCTTTCGGGACGATCCTGCGGTTTTGTGGTTTCAGGGGACAAGGTGCTTTGCCTCCCTGAGGGTCATGACCCCAATGCACGCTGGGCCCTCCAAGGCAGAATTTTCGACCAATGCCTCAAGGACCCTCAAAAACCGCCCATTTCGAGGGCCCGAAATCAATTGCGACCCTTCGGGCTCTCGCATTCGACCCCTTCAGCCGGGACATCGCCGTGTGGGCTTTGGCTATTGGGTCGAACTGATCGATCCGTCGGCTTTCTCGCCCAGCCGGGTCCGACACCACACCCTCAGCCTTTTGCAGGCGTCGGTGTGCATTCCCGAGCGATTCGGGAATGCGAGCGAGAGGTCAAACAGATCCAATCCTTGTTTCAGGTTTTTGGAATCCCCTAAGTCTTATGACCCCCTCAATGCAAATTTCCGGGCCCTCGAATAGAGAACCCCGACCCTTGGATGCGAACCAATTTTGAGCGCCCAAGAACAATCGGGGCCCTTGGGGTTATTGCTTGGCAAGGGAATTCCAAAGAAGCTGGCCTCCCATCCATAGAGCCCTGGGTCCTGGTTCCGCTGTCCTGGGGCCAACTTAATGTTGACCCCAGATAAATACACCTCTCCAGTTATTAAGGACTCGTCACCCGCAAAAGTGAAGGATTCCCTCTAAAAAGGGGACCCCCCGCAAGAATCAACCAGGAATGTTCGTGAATCTGGGGTCAAGGTTGGAACCACGGGTACTGGGGTAGTCCCCTTCTGGCATATCCAAGACCTACCAAAGACCCGCGCGGGGTGAACCCGACCCGCCTCGAAAACGCCTCCGAGGCTCTTGCTGCAGGACCTGGCGCGGGAGCTCGAGAAGAAGGCCCACGAACGCGGAGTTTTGCGCCTGAGATCCCCAAAGGTCGGCGGCCATCTTCCGCTTGGGGATTTTCTTTTAAAGGGTTCTCGTTTTTTTTTTTTTTAGAGGGTTTCTCGTGGCGACCCTGTATCTAAGAGATATTCCCCCCATTTAGGGTAATTTCCGGATAAAACCCTGTTATTTTGAACCATTCTGGGTCATTTCCCAAGGGTGTAATCCCAGGGTGTAACACAAAAACCCTCAGACTATAGACTATAGGCGACCATCTTCCTCTTGGTTTTTTCAGGGTTCTCGTGGTGACCTGCAATGAATTGAAATCACTGCCTAACCTTTTCGCTTTGTTCAAAAGGGGCTTCCTTCATTCTCCCTTTCAGCTCGCGACCATTGTCCTGAGTTCACTTGTCTTGTTGATGAACTCATTTCTTGAGTTCCTGGAGTTTAGTCACTTTTTGGGAAAGACCATTGGGGTGGTAAATATAACAAGCTTGGGTACTTTTGTTGGCCATTCAAAATTCAGGAAGTGAGTTACCCAGCGAATCTCACGCAAACCCCTATAGTAGACAACCATGTTCCTTTTTTATTTTTTTTAAACGGGCTTTCGTGGTTACCTACAACAAAAGAGGCACCCACATACTTCTTGGGCATATGAAAACCAAAGAGCTGAGAACCCGATGAATGGAATGGACCGATGGTGGTTTCAATGGGCAGGAAAAAAACAACCACCCGAGATGTGGATGCTTCGACTTTTTCGAGGGTGAACGGCTTCGTGGAGCCTGGTCAAGGGAAGCTTCTCCGAATGGGCGGTTGCCTCGCTCGAGAAGCGAACATTGGGACCTTTCCTCGCTCATTTTTTAAGAAGAACCTCAAGCTATGCTTTGCAAAGCGCACTGACACCTGAAACAAATCACTCAAACGATGGTGGAACAGTCATGTTCATACTTGGAAGGGGGGGATGAGCGACGAGCCTGGCTTTTGCAGCTGGCTGGGTTGGGATCAGCGAGAAGATCGCGTGGAACGTGAGATGCGGTGTTTGCAGATTGGAAATATCGGTTCTCAAAAAAGCAGGACCTTTTCTTGGATGCTTGCAAGATGGGGGACCTAAACTAGGTCCCCATGGTAGTGCCCTTTTACACTTTTTACCCTTATTCACCTAGTAAAGGCACCAGGTCCACAATTTTATGAGAAAGACTCATAGGATTCCCTTGTGCTTCGGTGTTTTTTCTTCCAGGATGGTGATGGCTTCGATGATGCCAACAAGAACATGGAGACCTATTGGATGGCGCTGACGCAGAGCGATGTGGATGTGCCTTGTCTCAGGTTCTGGGTTCGCTCTGCGAGCGCTGGCTACGGTTCTCCTCAAACGGTACAAACGGGTACTCTCAAAAAGCGCACCCCCAAATGGGCGTGCGCTTTTTCGAGGGTACCCTCTTCACCTTGGTTTAAAAGGGGAACCACAGGCCACAGGGCCCGCCACCAGTACTCCCGAATGGCGGTGTCACTTTTGGTGGTCCCTTTGAGGCAACCCCAACCAGGGTCGCCTTTCGACCGGACATGCGGCCCTGATTTCCATTTGTTTGCCGAGATCCTTAGACCCCGGTTGAAGTGCTTCGGGCTTTGAACGGCGCATGGAACAACCGAAGGCGGGTTTTCCTTTCGGTGTCCTTTCCTCCCAAAACGGGCGCCCATCCCCACCGCCTGAAACATGGAATTGGGGGACCCCTGGAATTCCATGTCCATTTTCGCTTTCCTGGGAAGACTAAACAATTGCCCCCACCCCCCTCCCCCTTAAGTTAAGGTAGCGGGGCCCGGCCGAATTGGAGCAATTCGACACTTTGGTGTACTTTGGCCTTTTGTGCATGGTTCATTTGGCAGGGACATGGGGGACGAGCCCCTCCAAAACGCAGGCCCTCCAAAACCCAGGGGATCTCTCCCAAGATTTGCCCGCAAGCCCAACAAATTGCCGATGCCCTCTCGCACCGGCATCTATTGAGACCACCAGTCGCTCTCCCCCAAAAAAAACCCCGACTTCCATTCAACCCGCGCGCTTTGCGCGGGCGCGCGTTTCACGTTTTTTTCATTTGGATCGAGGCGGCCATGCAGAAGGTGATCTCGCGGGATCCCGCGGCGTACCTCGAGTTCCTCAAGGAGCACGGCAGGGGACCCCAGCCATGCCATCGAGCGCTGGAGCGTAAGGGCGAGGACGTTTGGGCGTCATAATATTTGGGGGGGACCCAAACCTATAAAGAGCCACACCCAAAACTTGGCCTCAATCACACCACCTTTCTGAGTCTCCATATGGGCTCGTCTTTTCTTGAGGCCACCCTCTGGGTTGGTGTAAAGGGAAACCAACAGGACTACCGAAGCCGTTTTGGGGAAATTGCATCCTTAAAAAGCCACACGCAGGTTTTGTCTATAAGCCTTGACCAAAGGACCGTTTGCACCTTTCCGAACGGAAGCCAAAAGGAAATCCACTTGAGGGGTCCCTTATGGCTCTTGGTTTCTCGAAATAGGGTTCCCAAAATGGTTGGGTGTTCCTTTTGCCTTTCAATGCCAACCCAAAGGGGGGTCAGTTTTGGAGGTCCCCTGTTTTGATACATATATATATATATATACATACATACACTTCTGGGTAGTCCATTTAAGAGACGTGGTGGACTGAATGTTCGCGCACTGCGAAAGCGTATCATTCCGGATGCATGGGTGTATCTACTTGGTTTGAAGCTGGTACCCTTTCGAGGTTTGGCTTTTAAAAGGGGAGGCCAAAGGGGGACACCGCTTCAACATAGTCCCGTTTCAGTGGTTGCTTCGACGCCATCCCTTTGGGCTGTGGGGTGATGTGTAAAGGGGAGTTTCTCCCCAAAGGGCTCACATTTTGGGAGGCCAACGTAAGCAAGTACATAGGTGCCCTTCTTGGGTTGGTTTGGTTAGACATGGACACCACTGGTTTAAGTGTAGATGGGTTTTATCCCCCACTGAGCAGAGAAACCCAAGAGGCCCCCCTATGGTGAGCAACGATTGCCAATCCAAACAGGACGCCCATCTTTCCGATATTTCCCCGGTTGCATAAGACACGGTCGGCGGGGCGCACAGCACCAAATCAAGTCGTCTTGTCGCGTTTGTGTGCAGCAAAGGCAAAAGGGGCGTGTCTTAGCATAGGGACGTTTCCCAAGACAAAATGGTGTTTTCCACTTGGTTCTCCTTTAAATCAACCTTAAAAGGGCATTTGCATGCATGAAAGCGGATTGCTGCAAGTGCCTAGGCGCCAACGTGGGTGGAGAGAAGAAGAAAGAAGCCAAGCCCGCCGAGGACATTCAGGAACGAGGGAGCAATGAGGGTGTGGGGTGAGTCGAGTATGTTACGCCCCCCCCCCCCCCGCACTGAGAGACTTAAACTCAGTGATTCCATGTGTCTGTAGGTAACCAAGGGTTTGGGGGTAGGTTACAACCATGGCTGCAACTGGGGTGACTGGTAACCAAGGATCCACCCTTTAAAGCCAAAAGGACAATTGCTGTTTACCTGATATAGTGGCTGGCCTGGGATGCACTGGGCCAAGGAAGACTTAAACCCAATGGTCGGAAGGAGCCCAAAAGAAGCTAACTGGGTGTTTTTGTCCGCCAGTGATTCCATCTTCCTGAAAAATGTTGACCCCGGATCTGAGTAGACCCCTTTCGCCCTATTTTGCCGGGCCCCGGTTTTTTTTCCCCACGAGGGGGACGCCGAAGTCTTCTAAGATGGCTTCTTGTGGGTTTGAGCTCCCCAAGATTGGATGGTTTCCCTTTGGCTTTGGTTTAGGACAACTCAGACTCCCACAAAACGTGGGAAATCTGGAGCACCCAATTTCTCATGCCCTTCTTGCGGAAGCAGGTTTTCGCGAATTCATATGTGGGCCCCCTTTCTTGAGACACTCCAAAGGCGAGCGACTCTCAAATGAATATTTGTGCTTCTTCACTGTTGTTGGCATGTTTGTAGTTCTATTCTTTGGTTCTTTCCGTAGGGGGCTGCAAAGAGCAAAGGCAAAGTGTGTTGCTACCATACCAAGGGTTGGACAGTATTTGAACCATATTTCAGGTGGTGGGTGAAGGTGTCAACCTTGCACGGGTGTTTCTTTTTTAGGGGACCCCCTAAAATCATGATCTTCCTTCTGGTTTCCTTTGAACCCCACCAAAAAGATGGGTACCAACTCCAAAAACAGACGAGCCACCCAGAATCAAGTGGCGGGTGAAAGTGTCAACCTTCCATCCAGTTCCTTGAGTTTTCGTCAGTTTTTTCTCGTTGGTTTAGTGATACAGTGGATGGACAAAATTCATTTCGCACCACCTAAGAAACCATGGTTGAAACCATAGTTTGTTGGTATTTACAGGGAATCATACCATTCCAGGGTTTCTTAGGTGGTGCAGGATTTCGTCCATCCACAGTAGGTTCCACAGCACTAGAAGTTAAACAACTCTTCGCAAGAGATCTGAAATCGGACAGCCCAGTTGCCTAGTGGCACCCTTTTTTCACCTCTTTTTTGGGGAAAGGTTATTCCTTTACTAGGTCCCCCAGCTAGGTGCGCTTTTACCGTTTCTTTTTTGGTTGGGAGGGTTCCCCTACTAAAATAGACTACCGGAAAAAAGTTGGTACCCTTATTCTAACCTCTCTACTGGAGGACCTAGTTGGGACATGGGGACAAAATCCAATTGTTAGCCAACAAAAATGGGATGCAACCGACCTTTAAAGGACCCAACCAACTGATTTTCCCTCAAAGTCAACCAGCCCAAAAATTGGAATGCACCCGACCTTCAAATCGGACACCCCACTTGCTTGGTGGTATTCCTTTCTTCCTTTTTTGTGGGAAGCGGTTGTTCCTTCAACGTCACCCCAACCCGAAAAAAAATCTCGGCGACGCCGGCTCCGGTTTTCTCGCCGATCCTTCCCAGGGCTTGGGCCTGAAGCCGAAGATGAGGCCTGCGCCTGAGATCGAGCTGTCCAGTTCCGAGCGAATCGAACGCTTCTGGTTGTTTTGTTTTGGTCCATATGGGTGGCTCGTGTTTTTTGTTTTTGGATTAAAGGACCGAAACCCGAAAGGAGGCTCTTTTCCTTTGGGCATCTGAAAAAGCACCCAAAAAGGGGGTAGCCTCAAGAAAGACCGCCCCACACGGGCACCTCCTCTTTTCTTGGAAAGGCGCAAGCTTTTTGAGAGCCCCCTTTGAAGGGCCTCAGGGGTTTGGTCTTGAGTAGTTGGGTCTCAAGTGGCTGCGTTGTTTTTTGGAGTTGGTACCCATGCGGGTTTTCAAGGGGCGACAAAAGGAAGAGACCACATTTTTTAGGAGGGTACCTTAGAACAGACACACACACACACACACACACGAGCATGTCAAGCTTCCAAAAGGACCTTTCATTTTGGCAAGGCTGGGTTTTTGGGGGTCTTTGGGCTGGGTCTGCGGGGGTCTTTGGTCTTTGGGTGGGGGTTTCCAGCGGATAGAGAGTTCACCCGTAGCCCTTTCTTGCTCTTTGGGTTGGGTAGGGTGCCTCATTCGTGGTGCTCCTTCTGACTGCTTCTGATGTCAAAGCCCAAGAGACGTCTTAGAGTTTCACAAGAAGAACTCTTTAGAACGCAACGAAACACTTTCCGAGAGACGCAGCTCATTTACTTGAACCAGCAGTGACTCTATGGCAAAAATCAGGGGGCCAGGTTGTTGGTGGTTGCGAACATGAAGATCCCCGTGTTGGCCGTTTTCAAGATAACGTACACAAAGAAAGGATCGGTTCTAGCCCCATGGCCTCTCCAATTTAGACATCTGAGGCCGACAGCGAACGATTCCCCAAACAGAGGGTGTCCTATTGTCCATCATGCCATGATCAAAGGCTTTACTCACACGGGTATGTCCTTCTTTGAGGGTACGCTTTTGGGTTGGTGTTAAAAAGAAGCCACCAGGACACCGTTGGCATTTTGGGGGGTCCCGCTTGTGCTCCGTAGGGAATGTCCTTTCCGGGTGTTGGGAATGAACCAATGGATCCCTGTAAAGGAAACTAGAAGGGGATGGTGTTTATATTTGATTGGCCCCTGATCAATCAACCCCAGTTTACAGGGGTGGGGCCCCCTCCAAGAGCGGTCTGAATCCCCACTCCCAAAAAAACACCCCCTGGTTAATCAACTGGGGTTGATCAATATGGGAGTCATTCCCTCATTTTCCACCTCGTTCCCCGCAAATCTCTCCCCAACCAGCCTCCCTTTGGCCTGTCGCTTGTTCCGAGGACGGGCCCGAAGCCCTACCTCTACGTCAGCTTCCGGGCCCGCAGCCTAGACGCCGTCGAATTTGTTCGGAAAAAATGGGCGTTGAGGCTGGGATCGGGGGAAGACGCCTCCCAAGAAGTTTGTTCTTTTGGGGCCATTTGCGTACTGGGACATCTAGCATGTGTCAACAAATATCCGGATTTGGAGCCTCAAGCTGAAAATGGCGGCTTTCCGTTTGGGTGCCCTCTCTCAGCCTAAAGGCTACCCTTCGTCTCCAAAGTCAAGTACCCCTTTTTTCAGCCCATGGCGTAGGAAGTTTCCCCAGAAACCCATGGGATGGTTCTGGTTCTGGGAAGGCTATGGAACGAATCAGCGGTCTCTCGATCCGAGTCTTTACGAGGAAACGATTCCCCAAGTACGAGGGACATTCGCATGGAGTGGCGTAGTTGAAAATCAGTCAGGATCTTACTATATCTAGTTACTCACTTGCCCGAAGCGAATCAACATTTTATTCTTTTGGTTTCCCTGATTTCGTCTATATTCAGTCACGGTTCCGAACAGGTCAACCCTTAATTGTCAGGTCCTTTGGGTAAGTGAGATTGGGCTTAATTCGGCTTAACTAGGCTTAGTTAGGCTGAATTAAGCTTAATCAACCTCGCCAATTGGTGTAAGTAACTTTTTTCTTTTCTTCTTTTGGGGGGGTAGTCTCCCATTTGATGAATACAGGAGAACACTCTTAGCATTTTAACAGCCTCGTATATCACAGATTCAAGGCATCGATTCCCCAGTACGCATCAACCATGATTCTGTTCACAAACCATGAATTTCCGGCGATTCTGGTTGCCGATTTCTAGAGGGACGGACCCCTGAATGGGGAGGTACGGATGGAACAGCCTACACATGCTGGCTACATGTTTTGAGCCATCTTACCCCTAGGCCCAGGCTGGAAACACCCCACCCTTGGTTTGACCGCTCGACCACTATCCCCAATCCACTACCCCCAGGCAAAGGGTCGCTACTTCGGATCCATACTGCGAACCCTTGAGCATTTGAGCAGTAGAGCTTCCCTACAAAGGACGAGCCACCCTTACATGAATTCAAAACCTTCGTTTTGAGCCACCCTTACATAAATTCAAAAAACAACACCTTTGTGTTTGTTTTTTTGTTTAATAGACCCCAATATGGTGAGGACACGTGTCCTCATTCTCGTCCATTTACAACCCAAATTGGGGGTAGCCTCAGACTAGGGAGGAGTGAAAAACACGCCGCCCATAGTGTGGATGGCTGCGAAATCCGCTTCTTGCACCAGCCCTGGAACCATGGTTGAAACCATAAGTTGTTGGTATTTACAGGAGAATCACACCATTCCAGGGTTTCTTAGGTGGTGCAGGGTTGTCGTTGATCACAAGGGGTTCTCCAACCACTTCTGTGATACTTTTGAATCGGAATCTCCCCCTTTATGTGGAGGGTTAGTCTTTGGGGTTAGGCCCTTTTTGTTGTATCACAGAAGTGGATTCCATTTCAACCACAGCCCTGGAGGAGTGAAAAAAGCCGCCCATATCCTAAGCAACTGCGATCCTGTGACTGTGATCGCCTCTTTGACTGAGATCGGTGGCATCGCCTACGGCCCGAGGCGATCGGTTGGCCCTGTCTCGTTTTTCTTTTTTTGCCTCTGTCGATTTGTCGGTTTTTTGTCCTTGCCTCCGGTTTGTTCTTTCTTTTTTCCTTTGTTCCATGGCCTTTGTTCCTGCATTCCTTTATTCCCTTCTTCCTTTTTTTCTTTCTTCCCTTGTTCCTTTTTTCTTTTGTTCCTTTCTTCCTGTCTTCCTTTATTCCTTTCTGTTCCTGTTTTCCTTTTTCTTTTATTGTTTTCTTCATTTATGTTTTTCTTCCTTCATTCCTTTGTCCCTTTATTCCTGTATTCCTTTGTTTCTTTCTTCCGTTGTTAGCTTCTTTCTTTATTGATTGTTTCTTTGTTTCAGTATTCCTTTTCCTGTATTCCTTTGTGCTTCTTCTCCTCTATTCCTTTCCTCCTGTCTGCGTCTATTCGGTTCTTTCTCTATTCCTTTATTCCTTTAGTTCTTTCTTCCTTTGGTTCTTTCTTCCTTTGTTCCTTCCTTCCTTCCTTCCTTCCTTCCTTCCTTCCTTCCTTCCTTCCTTCCTTCCTTCCTTCCTTCCTTCCTTCCTTCCTTCCTTCCTTCCTTCCTTCCCCTCCCGGGCGGGGCACGGTCCACTCCCACTCGCTTGACTTCCTGCGAAACGCGGGGGCCATTAAATTGGAGGAGTTGGCGAACCTTTAGCAAGAACTGGACTCTTACCATGTCTTTAGTGTTTCAGGTTTTGTCCTCGTCCTGCTTATTTTTAGCGCCTTGCAAACTATATTGGAAAGAAAACAAGGCCACAAAAGCGACATTTTTCAAAGCCCGGCATCCTTAAACACCCGCAACCAAAGGAGAAGTCTGAAACCCAATGAGCCAACGACCCCATTTTTCTTTCTTGTCTCGGAGGTACCGATGCTGTGACTTGCCCATGGCTAATGCATACGACCCCACCGCTGCTGTGGGCGTCCTTACTCTGCAGGCTGTGCACAGCGGGAGGGGGGGACAGCTGAGGTCAGATGTGATGGTCAGTCCAAGGCTTCGTCTCCTTTGGTTCTGAGCATGAAGTAATGAACTGTTTGATCTGCAAACGGAAACCTTAAGGGGTCATTTCCTTATTCCCCTGTCGACCAGAAGTTTGCTGGCGGTTTTCCAACATTGCCCGCTGGGGTCACATGACGGGGCAAAAACAACTAGCCCGGGCTGACAATTGGATTTTCTGTGCACCTTTTTTCCAGCTCTAGAGGGGCAATTTCCGCTTGCTTTTTTTTTACTTGGCTGCTATTTGGATGGGTCTTTAAGCTTCAACTTTTCGGGAACATGTGTATTTTCCCCACGAACCATCCAAATAGAGAGCATTTGTTTTGGAGGAGTTGACTTTGGATGGGGTGATGCGTGAAGGGGTTATAGAAGGGGATCCTGATGCTGAAAGCGTCTCCTGTTCCTCACGAAAAGAAGCAGGGACGGGTTAGAAGGCGCACGACTCGAGCGATAAGCAATGTTTTCTCTGGACGCCACGTTTCAGCGGGCTACCCTTCAATGCAGACACTCTGACGCTACTTCCTTTAGGGACCTTTCAAAAACTCCATGTTGCCGGGATCCTTACGGTCTTCTTCTGGTCTTCTTATGGTCTTCTTCAGGTCTTCTTCTTCTTATGGTTGCCTTATGGTCTCCCTCTGGTCTGGCAAGCTCCCAATCTCAAAACAACCAAACCAGGCCCAAGCAATTGGTGAGGGCTGGGACTGAATTTCCGGGGTCTTCAGAACTCTATCTCGGCGGTTCCCAGACAAAAGCGCTTAGACTTCTAGAGATTTGGCGGTTGGAGTTGGATTCGTGACACATGCCACGTGACAAAGTATTTAACTTCATCAAGGGATCAACAGACCACGAAGCTTCCTTTGCCGCCTCTGGATTCACTGCCGCGAGGACATCTCGGACGACTGGGAGCGCGAGCTGCAGTACAACCCCAGCATCCTGGAGCCCCGGATGCAGAGGGTTGGCGGCAGCTTTTGTTCAAATCCAAGGAGGCACTCGGCTCCTAACTCGGGTCTCCTCCAAAATGATGTTATCTGCTTTGGGGTAGATGGACTATGAAGCAGAATCGGATGGATGCAGAAAAAAAACACATTTGGTGTACAGAGTTGGGACCAAGTTGTGTGTGTGTGTGCTTCAGGTACCCTTTCCAGGTTGGTGTTGAAAGGGCATCGAAAGGACAGCGACCATATTTAGGGTCTCCGAATGGAAAGGCGGGAATTGATGGCAAAAGGACCTTGGGGCTGGGTAGCGATTCTCAAAAGGGCCATTTAGGTGGTTTTACCTGGACCTGGTTGACCTGGTTGAATTGGGGTAGTGTTGATATGAACCATGAGCACGGTCGAACCGAAGCCGCGTTTTTTGTTTTCTCTTTGAAGAAGCCAGAAAACGCGGATCCGCTCCTGCTCAGAGCCTCACAAGAAGGGGAATTCTCCCAACTCCAAGCGCTTTTGAGCCGCACCTGTTTGGCATGTTTTGGGTTCCACCCCAAGTGGTTTCATTTCCTAGGTTCCCCAGTAGTGCCCTTTTACCGTTTCTTTTTTTTTGGGAGGGTGTTCCCCTACTAAAATAGACAAAACCGAAGAAGTTGGTACCCTTATTCTGACCTCTCCACCGTCCACCGGAGGACCAAGCGAGCGAGTGTTTCTTTTCTCAAGCCCCCGGTTGGGAGTGATGTGATTGGAGTTGTGAGTTGAGCTCAGTTCAAAGCCGACCGGATCCAAGGATCCGGCGTTGTTTTGGCTTTTGTGTTTTCGTCTATTTTTACTGGGGTCATTCTTCTGACGGAAACCCGGGGGTTATCAAAGTCAGTCACTGGGGTTGTTTCCCTTTAATCCACCACTGAACGGGGGTGACTTTGATCATGGTAAAATCATGAGGCCAGTTTTAGTAGAGGTCCCGAAAGGCGAAGCTTTTATTTACAGGTCCTTTCCCCCCAAAAGGCCAAAAGGGAGGGAGGGGGGGGGTTCCGACTCCACCAAAAGGAGCCACACCCGTTGCGAACGAAATGGTTTGGGGCCCCTTGAGCAAATTCCTGGACCAGAAGATGGAATTGGGGGATTGGGGCACCTTGACTGCTCCCTCCCTTTCTTTTTTTTAGCTACATCCCAGGGAGCACCGCTTCTCCTTCTTTTTTTTGGGGGGGGGGGTTGGGGCCCAAAAACCTTAAAGACGTCGATCGCCGCGAAAAAGCGAGGACTGCTCCCTGCAGAACGGCGCAGCGGGGCTCTACACACAGGACCTCTCCGGCAACTGAGCGGTGCGAAGGAAGCAATTCAGACCTCCAGTGGTTGGCGCAATGTCCCTTCCATTTGCTTAAGAGTATCTTGTATTTTTCTTGTTGGTTTTGAGAGGAATTTATCACTACTGGAGATATTTTTATTCTTTCCAGGGGTCTTAACCAAATGGAAGGTCCCCTTTTTGCCGACTTTGTTTTCGGGAGAGGAACATGAGCTACCAAGCACCTTTTACACTTTTTTGTTGGATGGGAACCCTGTTAACAGGGGGCAATTCCATTTCTTCGTTTGTTTTGGAGAGGCTTTCGCTTTAAAGTTCAGCCAAAGAGAGCCAACAAGTGCCTGGTCAACCTTGGCCACTGGAGGTCGTAGGTTTGTAGACAGCCATAGGCAGAAGTCCATCCGTCAGAATAACCCACGGCTCCTCAAAATTGGCAAGGAGTAGCCACGTTAGGGAGTGACAAACGGGACAAAACCAGGAGAAACCAAAAACCGCGACAGACTTGATCTTTCAAACCTCCTGACTCGAGTCGTCTTCCGGGCGCCATGGAAAAAACGCTCTTTGGCTGGGTGACCGGAACCCGGTGTCTCTGCGTGGTTTTGAAGACAAACTGGAAAATGGCCAGCTCATTTTGCGACGCACACAGGTGAGGGCGGCCTCATGTTGAGAAGCATACACGTGAGGGCCTGGATATGTGAAGCTGCCTTTGTCAGACCGTTTTCAGAGGTTCAACCCGGTTTGACAGCCTTGGGCTTGTTGCGCGCGGCAAGGCATGCGTTCGCTGTGTGCCCTGTCTTGATATTGGCAGTGGAACTCGCCGCGCAGAATTCGGTGGCTTGCGCCGTTCGAAATAGAGCAGCAAGAATCAGCCACTGACAGATCTCGTAAGCAAGCGACCTCCCATCCTGCGAACTTCTCGACTGGAAGCTAGCGAGCGACACTTTTCTTGCGTTGGAATGGGACTTGATGAGATTGCCGCTTGAGCGCTCCGGCGGTGATGCCGATTTGCAGGCGGGAGTTCGGACTGGGCTTGTGACATGACTTGACGCAGGTCTACTCCTCATGTTGACGTCCCTATTCTCATATCCAGACGCAACTTATTTCGCCTTATCCAGATCGCAGGCAACCCCCCATAGTAGGCAACCGCAACCCCTCGATCCATTTTCCTGGTTTTTTCCGGGGCAAGCCCTTTGCCTCTAAAACCAGCTAGGTCCCCCAGAAGTGTGACTAAACCGGGAAAAATAGGGTACCAACTTATTCAATCCTCTCTACTGGAGGAACCTAGTCAAGAAGGGTTGCTATGTTCCCCTGTTGGTTCTAAACAAAATCGACCATGATTGTTTTTCAGGGGACTCAAGCAAGCGGAGGATGTTGCTTCATTCGTGTTCCTAGCGTCAGACATGAGCCACAATTAAACCCCGGGTAGATGAAGGTGAAGAGGCAGTCCCAGCCAGAAATAATTCTTGAACCATGGTGGGTCGACCAACTTAATACCAGGTTTTCATTGTGACTCACATGAGCCTTCTTTTTCTTTGGTGCATTTTGCCAAGGGATGTTAGGACTTTAACTTTTTGCCAACTGTATTACACCACCAAAAGTTAGTCACCTTTAGGGGAGCAGAAAGCAAGCCTGTTTTGCCAGCTGGACCCAGTTCTTGCCAGCTGGACCCAGTTCAAGCCATCTCCAAGCCGCCCCTCGCGCTTCGGACTTCACCGAGATCCCTTTTGGCGACACCGAACCCTGGCTTTCGCCTGGCCCAAGGACTCAGTCAAGAACGCGCCTGTAACAACTAGGTCCCCAATTGGCGCCCTTTTCAACCGTTTCTTTTTTGGTGGGGAGGGTTCCCCTACTACAATCGACTACAGAAAAAAATGGTTGGTGCCCTTATTCTAACTTTCTACTGGAGGACCTAGACAAGGAGAGGCCCAGAGTGCAACGTGCGGGTGAAACGTTCCAAGCGATTCCGCGCCATTCAGTTGGTGCTAGCAAGTTGGTTTCATGCCGTTGCGGGGGGTCCAGCCCAGCAAAATGACTTTCGGCTCTACGAATGGAGATATTCACTGGACCCGTTTTTTCTTCCGGCCCATAGATCGATTTAACTGCCAGAAGCCAACAGATCGAATGGAGATCCACACCAGTTCGGGGTGGTAGGCATGTGTGATTTCACTCAAGCTTCCCTACATGGATATTACTGACTTGCATTGGCCTTTTGGTAGTTGGGTCATGTTGCAGCCACAAGGGGGCTTTGGTCAAAATGTGTATTTGGTTAAGAATATATACTAGACGTTTTATTTTCCCCTGTTGATTTTGAAGGGAATCGATTTCGCTACTGGGTTTTATTTTTCCAGGGGACGAAAACGCAAATGGAGGAGAATCCGTTCAAAGGTATTAAACAAATGGCAGAGATTGCTGGGCACCAGGGTCCCGTACTGTGGATTGTTGCGAAATTCTCTTAGGCACCACCCAAGCAACCCTGGTTTATGGTCTGATTCTCCAACGTAAATACCAGCAAATTATGGTTTCAACCATGGCTTCTTAGGTGGTGCGAGAAGCGGATTTCGCAGCCATCCACAGTATTTTGGACACCCCCGCCATAAAAGCCGAACGGTTTCTTTGGATACGCCCAGATCTTCTGCGAACCGCGCAAATGGTGCAATGGGGTGTGTCAGATCGCTCCATTTTCGGATGCGGGGGCGCTGACTCAACATGTGTGTGTGTGTGTGTGTTTGCTCGAGGATACCCATTTCACCGCAGTTTAAAGGGACACACAAAGGAAAAACAACATATGTTTGGGGTTCCCCCGTACTTTGACACATACCCACATGACTCCCCAAGTCAGGTCTCGATGATCTGATGTTGACACCCGCAAAATCGCTCCGGTTTTTCATCTCAAGTTTGGTGGGCTGTCAATTCAGCTTGCTTTATTGAACAAGTGTATGCTTGCCCCTGCAAAGTGGTTCCGGGTTTCCTGGCATTTCTATAGTTCGCTAGAGGTGCCCTTGTGAATAATTTGTCATGTCGTTCTGCCTGCATCTCAGTGTGTCTTTCCGTCTTTCCCTCACCGAATCGTTCAGGTGTGCTCTATCCGAACCGCTTCACACCAAAGGACCGAAAGGAATCCAGCTGTTAGAACCTGAACTGGGCACCCAACGGTTCCCTTTAAAGGAGCACGGCAAGGTTGTTTAAACAATGGGCGCATTGAAACACGTCGAAAAGATAGGCACCAAGGAACCGGACCATTCAACATGTCACCTATTACAACATGTTGGGCTACTACAGTATCCATATAACATCACTACAACATCATTATAACATCATTAGAACAGCAATATGGGGGCGACTACGTGTCACCTATTATAACATGAATACTTGGTCCCCCAGTAGTGCCCGTTTACCCTTTTTGGGGCGGAGGGTTCCCCTACTAAAATAGACAAAAAAGAAAAAGTGGGTACCAACTTATTCCATCCTCAACTTACTGGAGGACCTAGTCCGTATTTTACTTCCATCTGCGTAAAAACCTAGGGGAAACTTCCATGTCCATTCTTTCCAGGACCTGGAATATACCCACCCGATACATTTCTTATGACATGACCTCTGCTTTAGACCCCTCGCCATCGGCGTCTGCGTCCGGGAGGTGTGATGGGCAACCGGGTGATGTGCGGTGGAGCTCCGCAGCGTTCCCGGCGCTGCTTCGCAGTTCTCGGTCGCTTCGGCGGCCGAAGCTTCGGCTGCTTGTTTATCGGTTGCGTGAGATGTTTTTTGTTTAAATAAATATTCCCTTGTTGGTTTAATAGGATTTTATCACGACTGGACATATTTTCTCAGGTTTTCCAGGGGTCTTAACCAAATGTTTTTTTTTTGTTTTTTTTTTTTTTTTTTTTTTTTTTTTTTTTTTTTTTTTTTTTTTTTTTTTTTTTTTTTTTTTTTTTTTTTTTTTATCTGGCTGTGTGTCGTTTTGTTTCCTTGGGCTTTTGCTTTGCTTCTTGGCACTTTGACATTTCTGGTTTCGCCTCGTTGTGTTTTTCTGGCCTTCGTCGGCTCCTCGTCGGCTGCTTGTTGATCGGTTGGGGTCTTTTTTGTTACCTTGTGTGAGAAGTTTGGCGAGCCCCGGGAAAAGCGAAAACAGACTCTCCTGACCCCGAAAACAGATGCTCCTTAGCCTTCAACCCGATTTCGTAGTTAAGCGTTCCAGGTCGTTTCGGGGTTAGAAGCGTGTCTCTTCATAAGGAATCCTTCACTGCGTGGAGGTCGAAGAGTTGTCCCCAAAAGGTGGCAAAAAGAGACCTTTCTGCCTTTCTGTGCTTGTCCGGTTGCGTTTCGCTTCGTTTCTTGGACTTTCGCTTCGTTTCTTCGCTCTTTGACTTTTTTGTTTTGCCTTGTTGCGTTTTTGCCTGTCTCTGTTGCGTGTTTTCGGGATGGGTTGCCATTTTGTCAGGGGAGTTGAACAAAGCGTGGCTTTTGCTTTTGTCGTCTCGATGTTGCTTTGATTTTGCAGTTTTGCAGTTTTTGTTCAGTTTTTGCAGCTGTGCGTCTTTGTAGTTTTTTGCTTTTTGCAGTGGTTGCCCATTTTCGTTTTCTTCCTTCCCTTCGCTGCTCCCAAAGAGCGGACATGGCTGTTGGATCCAGGAAGGTGATGTGTGTGGCATTGGTGCCTGTGGCTCGGGAACCGGAGAGTCTGCTAGGTCCCCAGTGCCCTTTCTCACCCCCTTTTTGGGGGGAGGGTTCCCCTAACAGAAAAAAGGGTACCCGTATTCTAACCTCCCTACTGGAGGACCTAGTCTGTTTTGTCAAGGGCTGAGATATTTCGCCGCTGTTTTTGCTTGTCGACCCCTGAAGGGAGTCTGCTCATCGGCCTAGGGTGGGATGGCCACCAAGGTTTATTCAGCAACTTAACCGAATGAGCCCAAGAAGGGTCGATTTCCCCAAATAAATGTGTCTTTTTAGGGGACCCTCAAAAATGGTGGGTTTTCTTATTGTTTTCCCTTTATGACCAACCAAATGGTGAATCCCCCAAAAAAC